TTAATACTGTACCACAAAATTGGAGAAATAGTAAGCAAAAATCGCGTTATAGCAAACAAGCGTTCGCGTTATACAAATATCGTTCCATCATAAATCGCGTTAGAGCAAATTCGAGTTATCAAAACGACTATAGCAGAACTCACTGTACCTGCTTACTTATTTACCTGATAGCCAATCCACCTAGAGGTGGTTATACTGAGGGAGAAAGGCCAGTGGCCTATGTAGGATCCCGTATGATCGTGGTCGTCTTTTCAGCTTATTATTCATTTGGGCAGTTGGTCTATCCAGTAATAGCACGGGAGGAAACCAGAGTGCAGGAAACCTGTGATGTTTGGTTGGGTCACACTGGATAACGCCCTTCTCACATTTATCTGGGCCAACCAGGTTTCGAACCCTTGACATATAGATGAGAAATACGCATGTTACCACTATTTTGAACCCCATTACTGTTCTTGCTTCCACGGCTTGAGCTCATAAGTGTTCCACAGGTCTACCGATCTCTGCATGAAAAAGTTCTAACTTTTATTTGTTGGCGAGCTTAAAGTTAGGTCCTCATGTTGATGGTGTGTGACATCTCAAAACTTATCTTGGGTTTATCAGACCAGTGGTTCTCACCCTTTTCCACTTCATTCCTCCCTTGTGGAACTCTCAAAATCCTCATGGCCCTTCTTCAGTTTTCTGCCAAACCCCACAAATAATGATGACAAATAAACTGTTCTGATCAGATGAAGAGAATACCCTTCTTTCATATTTTTATGGTTGCCAATCATCATCATCTTATCATATATTTTGACAAACTTACATATTTTACACAACTGACTTAATACTAGGCACAAGTGACAAGACTAGCCTCACAACAAACTTGAATTTGGCTGAGAAAAGTTACTATTACAGTACCTAGGCATAGTTTGTCACAGCCCAACGGGAAGGTTGACATTGTTTCCTGTCAGTCGGGTGATTGATTTGAGGTTGTGTCACTGACAAAGCACTTCTCATTCCGGCTTTTATTCTTTATATGTAGAAGGGTGGAGAAATCAGACTCACATAAATAGGTAGTAGAAAATGGCAAGAGGACTTGAAGTGCGATTTAGCTAACTTTTGGATACAACTGATACAATGAGCACCAGAATACAGTCAGCAATTTTTCTTCAGAAGTCATTAGCAGCAGAATCATTCTTGAGATCAAGGAATTCGTCCTGAACATCATTGGAAATGGTAGCAATATCAAGAGTGCCAGAGAAAGGATTTCTCACCAATTTCCCTTCTTTCTCCTCACTGAGTGATTTCAGTTTAGAGTGATTGGTCAAGCAGATGATTTTCAATCTCATCAAGAACAGTTAAACGATTTTCAAACATGGCAACATTTCCCGAATTGACTTTCCTCTGCCAATTCTGGAGCTTGGTAAGAAATGCACGAAGACAATCCATCCAGTGAAACACATTTTCTTGCCTTGTAGCTTGAGATTCAGCCTGTTTAACTGATCAAATATATCTGCTAGGCATGGAAGACGTGGTTCCCACAACACCCCATTGGGTGATTTAAGAGATCATCATTCCCTTGCACTTCCAGGAATAATGTAAGCTGTCCCCGAAGTTCAAACACTCGATTCACAACATTACCATTGGAAAGCCAGTGCACTTAGTAAAAGAGGAGAGCATCATGCTCTGAATCCATGTCTCAACAAAAGTTCTGGAAAAGGCGTAAGTTTAGGTCTCCTGCTTTCACAAAGTTGACATATTTGACCACTGCCTCCAGGATCTTGCAAAGTGCACCAGGAGGGTTTTGACAACAGTGCAAAACGATGGATCATACAATGACACGCTTCTGGAACCCAGATTTCGATCCCAGCATTAACAACTTATAACAGTCCTCCGTGGCCCCCCTAAAATCTTGCTGTGGCGCCAGGGCCTCCAGGTTGAGAACCACTGGAACTTCATCCCTTCCATCCCTTTCAAGATTTTTAATGCCTCTATGAGATCTGCCCTATTGTGTCTTGTCTGAATATGTGTCAGTCACAAGGCCCTCATTCTACTTGGATGGTCATGGTGATATATAGCTCAGGAATATTCTTAGTTGCTCTGTCTAGCACCTTTTATAAGGATGCTATATACAGTGATATCCCCGTTACCCAGAATAATTGGTGCAGAGCTCTTCCAAAATGAGAGATTTCCAGGTAATGAAACAACTTTTTCAAACCTGTAAAATATCCTACATCCCGGGAATTTTTCCAGGTACTGTACTGGGAAAAGTTTTCTAAGTTTAAACTAAGCAACTTGCATGGTCAAATACTATCGCACATCCCATTAATGCAAGGGTGTCAAACTCATTTGCTATTACGGGCCAGATTTAATATGAGTATACACTATGTGGGCCATGTAACACAATTATGAGCATTTCGTGATCGCCCATTCGGGGAGTAGTGCAGCAAAATAAGAGGTGAGCACAGGAACAGGACTAGAAGTGCTAGCGGCTGAGGTCTTAGTCTACTCGAGAGTGAAGGACAAGTCCCCCACCCAAGGGCGAGCGTGAATAATCTCTCTCTCTCTCTCTTAAAAAAGCTTGTGCTGTGTTGTACAATATATAGTTACCGTGATTAGTCTTATTGCCTGTTACTGCTGCTCCCTGATACTTGGCACCTCTTTGTATGGCCCAATGCATCAAAGTTTGGAGCTAATGACCGAGCTGCAGCAACCTTCAGTATTGAATTCAGGTGCACATGAGTAAGTTGAGAACGAAGTCAAGATTAGTTAATGTTCATTACAGAAAAGAGCTGTTCACACAGATATGTCCTTCCGAACATGGACATAATCTTTGAGGTAAAACACTTAATCCTGGGAAAATTTGGTCCCACATATTGATAAAATGTGCCAACATCGACACTTGAAAACTAGTTGTTCAAAACAGAATCACACTGGGGCTCAATTAATTCTAACTGAAGATGTTCTGGTACCTCATTAACACTGAAAAATGGAAAATTCTTTTTCAAGGTATTTAAGTCAGCAAATCTTTCTTGGAACTCATTCTTTAACTCGGAAATCTTGATGCAGTACTTCTGTGTTGGTATCAAGATGAAGCTCAGGTTTTAGCAGGGAGTTTAAGGTCGGAAAGTGTGAAAGATTACTCTCTACAAGTTGCCTTTCAAAAAGCTGCAGTTTCATCTCAAAGGCACAAATGCAGTCATAAAACTCTGTTGACAATTTATTGCATCTTTATATTCAAGTAATTTAAGTGCTCTGTAATATCCACCATGAAAGCTACATCTTGAACTCATTCACTATCTTTCAATTCATGCACATCCTTTCCTTTCTGTTCCCTAAACATTTGTACTTCACTACTACGCAATTCATCAAATCGCTTCAGTACGACTCCCCGACTTAATTAGCAAACATCAATGTGATATGGCAGTCCGTATGTGTTCTCATTTTCTCCAAAAGCAGTTGAACTGCCTGTGGTTCAGGCCTCGTGATTGTATAACGTTCACTGTCTTTATAACGACATCCATGACATTATTCATCTTTAATGTTTTACTGCACAACACTTCTCTATGTATAATACAATGCAAATTATGAAATTGATGGTTCGGGTTCACAGCTTGTAGTTTTTCCTTTAAATTTGTTGCCACTCCAACTTTTCTACCCACCATCTGCTGTGCTCCAGTTTGTACCTAGTCAACCCCTAATTTATCCAGTGCCCCTACCAAACTTGCAAAGACGTCATCACCACTTGTTGTTCCTTTCATTGGTACCAGCTCCACAAACTCCGGTTCACTGCATATTTTCATCCTCACCACATATAAAAACTGCAAGTTGTGTTACATCAGTTATATTGGCACTATAATTTTCCAAATGTTTTGTGGTGAACAAACTTCTCAACCAGTCTTGCAATGAATTGTAATTCACTACACAAATCTGCAGTATCGAATTCTTTGTTGTCACCATGTTGAAATTATTTTCTAGTTTTAAGCAATGTTACATTACTTCCTTCGATGTTATTGTCTGCATATTGTGGATTACATACAGGAAACCAAAGAGAGAACCACTTTATGCATATGTGTGAAACTTTGTTCAACTGATTGTATTACTACATCCAAGACTGCAAAATAAAAGTTCACTTTGAACTTTTGCTTGGGATTCTGAATTGTTTCATATTTAATCTAAACAGTTTTTGGCACATTCAACACTATAAAAACTCCTTATATCCAGGGCATGTGGCATCACCTCACAACCACATCACCTGACTCCCATGATGCATCACTGTGGCAGTTGCCTTTGACAAGGTCAGGTAACATATTTGCCGGTAGGGACTTGACCACCATTGCTTGCATCAAAGGATCCAGCTTGAATGGCCTCACTCAAGTTAAAAAAAAATTAACACAAGCTAATATAAACTGAGTCCACTATCCTACATTTCTTAAAATCAGTGCATTTGTAAAATAATTGGCTTGCGGGCTTTTCCTTACACATGACACATCTTAACACCACACGACCCCCTCCTGTTCTTACCTCCTCTTCCAGCCCTCCTCCCACCTCACCTCCCACAGTTGACCTAAACTTTCCACATCCTGCTCCGACCTTCCACCCTACCCCAAAGCATCGGGTTGGGTCATGAGAGTGAAATGTTGTCATTTTAATAAAACAGTCTTCCTCAAAAAAGGTATTTTTTAACATAACTATCGTCAGTGCTAGCCATTCCTCCCTTCGCTTTTAAACTTTTGTTATTTTACTTAGAGGAGATAATTTATCTTTGTCCATAATTTGTGGCACCTCCAGATGATGGCGCCTCAGGCAATCGCCTAGATTGCCTAGTGGGTACCACCAGCCCTGCAGCTAATTCTAACTTGATTTATGATATTACACCAGCAATAAAGTATCAGACTGTTACCTGAGAAAAAGCTGTTACGATTTTGAAGAGCAATTTCTTATCTGCACCTATAAAAAATAAAACAATTAAGGAAAAAAAATTGCTCAGCAAGTTATATGATCCTTCATATTTTTCTTACCGGCCACAATCCAGTTTTTGTTGGTCATATCTTCAGCCAAGATGTGATTACAGATCTCCACCTCAAAGCTGCTGCCATCAAAGGAGGAGATGGTCGATCCATCCACTTTACAATTTTGGGGGATATTGCCTTCCAATATAGGTTTGGATGTTGACGTGCTTGTGAAGGGTCCTTCAAAATATGCAATTATAATTTGTTAGAAACTACAGTATCGTCAGTACTCCCATTTGATATCTTAAGTTATAGCAATAAACAATTAAGGTAGTGTATATATACATATATATATATATATATATATATATATATATATATATATATATATATAATATATATATATATATATATATATATATATATATATATATATATATATATATATATATATTATATATATATATATATATATATATATATATATATATATATATATATATATATATATATATATATATATATATATATATATATATATACTGGACATCTGTGTGTGAAAAGGGGTCGCTACTGGGTTGCCACAAGGACAACAAAAGTAATTCTAGGCTTTGTTTTATTTCATAACATAGTTGGCTGCTGCTGAGATTCAATGTCACGAAGTGTAAGAGGATGCACCTGGGGCGTACCAATGGTAAGGAGGCGTATCACATGTCCCAACGGGATGAAGAAACTGCACTAGTTGAGACTGTGTGTGAGAAGGACCTAGGTGTGTATGTTGACAATGAGCTGAAGTTCTCGGGCCATTGCGAGAAAAAGGTAAATCAGGCAAATAAATTATTGGGTCTTATAAGAAGGTCGTTCAGATATCTAGACGGTCCGTCCCTCGTAACGATCTTCAAGAGTGAAGTGCTTCCCCACCTGGAGTACTGTCACCCCGTCTGGTCCGCGAGATATGCTAGGGACTGTCAGTTGGTTGAAAATGTTCAAAGGAGGGCCACCAGACTGGTGCCTGCACTTCGGTGCCTCAGCTACCCTGAGAGATTGGAGCGCCTAAACTTGCCTAGCTTATACTACAGACGGGCAAGGGGGACCTAGTTGAGGTGTATAAGCATCTCAGGGGCACTACTCAGTCGAGTCCTTACTTGAGCTGGCGGACGCTCGACCCACAAGGGGTCACAGATCAAGATTGAAGAAGCCACAAGTCCAGAAAACTGTGAGGGCAAACTTTTTCGGAGTGAGAGTTGTAAACTCTTGGAACAATCTACCAGAGAGTGTTGTGACGGCACCGAGTGTGAGCTTTTTCAAGACAAGACTTTACCAACACTGGAGCGGGTTCAGGTACATTCAGGAGCCGGTGCATGCCCAGTATTTGCCAACACTGCGTGACAGAGACGTGACCGATCGCCCGGGCGGCTAGCGAGCCGATCTTTTGGTGAAGAGGATAAATGAAAAGGAAAACTGCTCAAAGACGTGACCGATCGCCCAAGCGGCTAACGAGCCGATCAGTGGTGAATAGGGTAAAAGTAAAGTAAAGTAATTCCTGGTGGAGGTTCACATTGTTTAAAAATAAAATGAATGAGCAGGCTTTGTGAAATAAAACAAAGTCTAGGAATGCTTTTGCTGCCCTTGTGGCGCCTTGGTAACAATCCCTGTTCACACACAGAGGTCCAAGGTTTGATTCGCGACTAGTGAGATATTGTTTGTATATACAGTATATATGCACATGCACAAGTAATTAAAAGATGAGTTGAATTTCTAAACACAAACCTTTTTGATTTCAATTCAAATTTTCTTTTATTTAATAATCAAATGATTAATGGTGCAATGTTAAAACATAAAACTTTGAATAGTTGTTTCAAAATAAATCACCCTTGAAATACATTTGCTTAGTCACTTGGGTATCTGCATATAACATTGCATATAACAATGGCCAAACCTGTCTAAGAAAGGGATCAAATTCTAACATATCATCTATTTGATAACGCTCTAAATAACTTGCACAACAGAATATAATTTGAGCTTAAATGGTATTGTAGTAAATACTAATAAAAATAATATTTTCGTAATGAAAACTTTGTGCTTTGGATATACATACTGCAGTCATACACCGGACAGGAGTCATTTGGGTTGGTTATGTAGGACTCTTCACCCATGTGACATCTGGGTCTCTCCACCTGTTAGAAATAAGATTTGATAAAATTAATAAAGAAAAAATAGAAATGGGATCAAATTAAGCTGAAAAATGTAAGAGACCCTATAAGATCTATTGGTAGAGCTATGTACTTTTCTATCATATCATATCCTGTATTCAAAGTGAAACTTCAGCAGTGGAAACTGTGGAAAAAATGAACGAAATCGAACAAATTCTTCTGGTGGTAGTGCTGTTTTAAGAATTTACCGATTCATTTGCTACAACAAAAATAAGTGCAGTGTAAAAGTATGCTGTTAACTCTAATATTGTTTTTGGAAGTGATTTTTCAGCAAAATTATGGTTGAAAGCACTTGGGAGAGGTCTTACTGTAAATGTAATAAAATTTTCAAAATATTATTTCATTACAAAACTGCAGGATATCTTGACACATTCATAGGGTTATGCTGGGAGATACAAACTGAATTAAAGGATGATAAAATACTTCCTGATTAGAAAATTTGACAGGGAAAATGAAAATGGAATGAAGCATAATACTCGTAACTCCAAGTTACCTTTGTGAATTAGCTGGGAGCTGTATCTGGTGTTAATATAATGGGATAGTTGAGATGCTGACCAAATATAGATTGGTAAAGGAGGTTCTCTATTATGATAGAATAAGATGGCAAAGAGGTAATATTCAGTGCTTGGGAGTGTTACGTGAAGGAGCCAAACTACATTATGAAAGGGATAGCTAAAGCTGAAACAATATATACTGTATTATGCTTGGGAGAGAGAGGCATCACAGACAAGATTAAGAGTTAGAATAAAAAATAGTAATAAATGAAAAATATGAAATACAGTACTGAATTTAGTATACACTATAAGGTGAATGATGTAAAATGATACTTCACTTACTGGAGGACATGAAGTACACTTATATCTTGGACAAGGTGCTGACTCAGAATCAGTTATATACTCAATGAACATTCCTTCTGGGCACTCCACAGGTGGACATGGTTGCAGAATCGGTACACAGGCATACTAACAAACAAGAAAAACAATTTGGTATTGTTAATGGCTGATAGAATAATACAAAAGAAAAATTCAAAAGGCCGACAAATGTGACAAACAATTTTATTATTTTATTACAGGTTTAATGGGAAAAGGAAGCTGACGGCTTGCTTAAACCCCCCATTGGTTCTCTTGAGCTTGTCCTTCATTGTCCAGGTTTACTAGAGGATGAAACTGGAATAGTAAGAGAAAACCTTCAATGTTTGGGAAGGTCACACTGGACAACACTCATCTCACATCTGTCCCAGGCTGGGTATCAAATCCAGGATACAGTAGTGAGAGGTACATGCATTACCATTGTATTACCAATGATAATCAGGAGATCACTTAATGTTGACCATCGAGAATGTTTTGAATCCTTAACAATAAAGAATCAATTGAAGTTGTGATATCCCATCTTAATACAGGAGAATGTACATATGACCAAGAAAATCTTCATCCTACAGTACTGGTGGTACAGAAAGTACTGTATTTTGATAAAGTCCCCAGCACACAAGGAATAAACCTGAAAGCATCCAAACCATCTGTTCAGTGTCAGATGCATTTGAGTAACGGGTAAAAGGCTTCAAGAGTACCTGTCTGTGTCTTAAACCTTCTTGACCATAGTTCTTTTCATGTCGTGAACTGAGATATTACAATATCACTATTTTTCCTAAGGCTGACACACAGCCTCAAGAGTGAGTCAGAATATATAAACGTTAGCATAGAGAGCTTAGGAGTACAGTCACCCAAAAAAGTCATGTCGCGAACCATGAACCCCGAGATTCAGACTCTTGAATCCGAAGCATTTATGGACAGAATAATGTATCAGTGTCTACTGCTTCAGGTTCACGAGTCTGAATCTCGGGGTTCGTGGTTCGCGACAGGACTTTTCTACGACTGTACAGTACAGTATATCCTAGAAGGTGAAACAACCATTATAAATCCTCAAGAGTTATACAGCAGTTTCAGGTTAGTATTTCATGAGACAGGAAATGAGAAATTTAACTAAATAAAAAACTGTAAAGCAAAAGAGTAAGTAATTCAATAAAAAATAAGGTTAGGGACTGAAGGCTTCAAATTCCCCAAACAACGTTAAATTATTTATTAACTTACTACCCACAACCAAGAAATGCACAGCAGGAAGTAATTACCACAATCAATCAATCAATCACATTGTTCTGGTACACCATGGAAAATTAAGAAAATTGAAATAAGAAAGAAATTAGTACAGTACATCAAAGCCTTCTGCCTCTGATATATCCAGCTATCCAAAGATTGATACTGTATATTGTGCCAATAAATCGACCTTTGAAGCTCCAAACTTTTGTGTTCAAAACTATAGGGCTGCCTTATACACAGATATAAAATGTCAACCTCTAAGTATGCTCCACCACTAGCATCAGATTTTCACTTAATTTCCAGCACTCACAATGAAGTTCTACCTAACTGTAGCATTTTTACAGAAGGGTAACTGTTACTGAACTCGGCCTAAGGTCAGTGTGTACACTTGTCCTACCGACACCTTTCAAAACATTAAAATATCTTTCGGTGTTAACTACGGTTTCTTACAAACAAACGTTACTAGGGCAGTTACAGTATTTTCTCAATTTAACGAACTAATTCGAGCCAGCCCTGTTTTTTAAATAGAAATTTCCACTAAATTGAGCTCTTGGTCAATTAAGTATACTACACTAGAGCACTTTAGCTTTCATTTTTATTCATGACATATACAGAGGCAACTGAATTTACAGCTCACCCTTTCTTGGGTGGGGGATTAGTGCGTCTCGTGACAAGATGTCTTGAATAACGCGAAACCTAAAGTATTTTTAGGGAGATTGTGTTAAGTATAAGTATAAATGATAAAAGTTGTATCCCTTCAACATTAGGTTATATAACATTTTAAAATATGGAGTGAGAAAGGTGTGTTGATTAGAGATGGAAAAGGAGTAACATGCACCAGTGTTGCCATGATAATCTCTGTTGATGTTTATTTCACCTGCAGACAGTCACACAACAAGACCCTCACTGGATGCTTGTTGTCTTAATTCCTGTGTAGTGTGTGTGTGTGTGAGGAACTCACCTCAACATCACATACACACATCCCCAACACCACCAGCACACACCCCCAACACCACCAGCAAACACCACCAACACACACCCTCCAACCCACCAACACACACCCCCAACACCACCAACACACACCTCCAACACCATCAACACACACCTCCAACACCAGCAACACACACCTCCAACACCACCAACACACACCTCCAACACCACCCAACACACACCCAACACCACCAACACACACACCTTCCAACACCAACTCAACACACCTCCAACACCACCAACACACACCTCCAACACCACCAACACACACCCTCCAACACCAACACACCCTTCAACACCACCAACACACCCAACCCACCAACACACACCCTCCAACACCACCAACACACACACCTCCAACACCACCAACACACACCCTCCAGACACACACCCAACACCACCAACACACACACCTCCAACACCACCAACACACACCCTCCAACACCACCAACACACACCCAAGACCACCAACACACACCTCCAACACCACCAACACCTCCAACACCACCAACACACACCTCCAACACCACACACCCTCCAACACCACCAACACACCTTCACCACCACCAACACACCCTCCAACACCACCAACACACACCTCCAACACCACCAACACACACCCTCCAACACCACCAACACACACCTCCAACACAACCAACACACACCTCCAACACACACAACCAACACACACCCTCCAACACCACCAACACACACACCCTCCAACACCACCAACACACACCTCCAACACAACCACAACACACACACCCTCCAACACCACCAACACGCCCTTCAACACCACCAACACACCTCCAACACCACCAACACACACACCCTCCAACACACCTCCAACACCACCAACAACACACCTCCAACACCACCAACACACACACCCTCCAACACCACCAACACACACCTCCAACACCACCAACACACACCTCCAACACCACCAACACACACCTCCAACACCACCAACACACACCCTCCAACACCACCAACACACACCCTCCAACACCACCAACACACACCCTCCAACACCACCAACACACACCCTCCAACACCACCAACACACCCCTTCAACACCACCAACACACCCCTCCAACACACCCCCTTCAAATACACACCCACCAACACCACCAACACACACCCTCCAACACCCCCAACACACCTCCAACACACAACCCAAACACCACCAACACACACCTGACCACCACCAACACACACCATCCAACACCCCAACACACCCTCCAACACCACCAACACACATCCTCCAACACCACCTGCCAACACACACCTCCAACACCACCAACACACACCTCCAACACCACCAACACACACCTCCAACACCACCAACACACACCTCCAACACCACCAACACACCCTTCAACACCACCAACACACCCTCCAACACCACCAACACACACCTCCAACACCACCAACACACACCCTCCAACACCACCAACACACACACCCTCCAACACAACCAACACACACCCTCCAACACAACCACCAACACACACCCTCCAACACCACCAACACACACACCCTCCAACACCACCAACACACACCCTCCAACACAACCAACACACACACCTCCAACACCACCAACACGGCCCTTCCAACACCACCCAACACACCCTCCAACACCACAAACACACACACACCCTCCAACACACACACCCTCCAACACCACCAACACACACACCTCCAACACCACCAACACACACACCTCCTCCAACACCACCAACACACACCTCCAACACCAACACACACCCAACACCACCAACACACACACCCTCCAACACCACCAACACACACCCTCCAACACCACCAACACACACCTTCAACACCACCAACACACACACCCAACACCACCAACACACACACCTCCAACACACAACCCAAACACCAACACACACCCCAACACCTCACCAACACACCTCCAACACCACCAACACACACCTCCAACACCGCCAACACACACCCTCCAACACCACCAACACACACACACCCTCCAACACCACCACACACACCTCCAACACTGCCAACACACACCTCCAACACCACCAACACACACCCTCCAACACCGCCAACACACACCACCAACACCACCAACACGCACCTCCAACACCACTAACACACACCCTCCAACACCACCAACACCCACCTCCAACACCACTAACACACACCTCCAACACCACCAACACACACCTCCAACACCACTAACACACACCTCCAACACCACCAACACGCACCTCCAACACCACTAATACACACCTCCAACACCACCAACATTAACACCTCCAACACGACCAACACACACCCTCTCAACAACACCACCAACACACACCCTCCAACACCACCAACACACACCCTCCAACACCACCAACACACACCCTCCAACACCCACCAACACGCACCCTCCAACACCACCTCCAACACCACTTCAACACACACCCTTCCAACACCACCAACACACACCTCCAACACCACCAACACACACCACCAACACCCTTCCAACACACCTCCAACACCACCAACACACACCTCCAACACCACCAACACACACCCTGACCACCACCAACACACACCTCCAAATACACAACCTCCAACACCACCAACACACACCTCCAACACCCCCAACACACCTCCAACACACAACCCAACACCACCACAACACACACCCCTGACCACCACCAACACACACCCTCCAACACCCCAACACACCCCTCCAACACCACCAACACACCCTCCAACACACAACCCAACACCACCAACACACACCCCTCCAACACCACCAACACACCACCAACACGCACCCTCCAACACACAACCTCCCAACACCACCAACACACACACCCTCCAACACCACCAACACACCC